TAACTTTTTTATCACTTTTAGGGTCTGATTGGTTCTCCCGCTACCACCCGCAAACGCAGCGTTTGCGGTTCGTAGCGGTTTTCGGCGGTTTATAACAATCACGACAACCGCTTTGAATCGCTCTATACCACTCTGTACCGCTCTATATCGCTGAAAATCAAAAGCTCCTTTCCGCAAGCGTTTGCGGTTGCGGGTGGATAATTAAAAAAAAAAAAAACACAAACTTATATAAAATCCGAAAATAAATAATAATATTTATTAAAAAATAAGATTTGGATAATAAAATCACAATATAAATAAAAAATTAGTACTTTTAGTCAATATTCATTAAAATCATATAATACTTATATATTTATAAGTTCTACAAATCAAAATTCTCTTCATAAATATTCTTTTCATACTAATACATATATATCTAATAAATAAAATTGTAAAATAAATTTAATTTTCACATTAAATATATATTTTGAAAATAAAATCACATTTTTATTTAAATTATAGAAATTAAAAGATAGACGTAAGTATTATACACATATTATTCTTTATAAAAAAATATTTTTAATTATGTTGAACCATAAATTTAAAATTTTCATTATAATATATTTTTGATATTTTTATAATTATATAATGTGTTTATATTATTAATTTATTGTTTAACCGCTATTGCATCCGCAAGTGAACCAGTCATAAGTAACCCGCAAACGCATCCATTTTCAATTGTTATGCCAGTCGTACAAACCGCTTAATAACGCTACTAATCACAACCGCCCGCTTCTGCAAACTCCCGCACCCGCAACCGCAACCGCAGCGGTTAAACCAGTCAGACCCTAAAATTTTCAATTTTGGATTCAAAAGGTGACCGAGAAAATAAGAAAGTTCAATTTGTCTCATACTCCAAAACAATTTATCTGAGTAAACATTTCCAAAACATTGTAAAAAAAAATTGTAATTTCTTGAACTTACTTTCGTGCTTGCATGCTTTCATAGTTTCAAATGTCACCATCTTTAACACTTCGTTTGTTCACATTGGTATCTGTTAATACAATAAATCGGTATAAGGACAATTTCTTTTACTGTATTAACATATACCGATTTATCAAAAAAGTTGAATTATTTATCCTTTTTTCTGTTCACTAAATAACAAGCAAAAAAATTAACGATGTATATAAGAACTAGACGAATTGAGAAAACTTTTTTTTTTAACAACTGATGGGTTGTTTTAAACTTATAACCCGGTTACAAACCAAAGAAATCGGAAGCTCGATGCCAATGAGTCCGAACAAGATGCAAACAGTAAAATACAAAACATGCTAAAGATAGATAGAAGATTAGATTCATAGAAAATAACAGATCCCTTTAGAAATGGCAAGTTCCTCTATCGTTAAAGACAAGTGAACGATGATAGCTTGTGATGAGCGTTTAATGACTTTCTCCAAACAGGAGAGGAGCGAATTCAGAGATATGCCAGTAAGTTGGCAATACTCTAGAGCTGCGAATGCAGATTCGGAGATACGCCGGTAAGTTGGCAATACTCCAGAATCCAAGTCAACATAATCGGATGATAATCTAATAGTTATGGACTGTCGTCTCTCTGTAATGACAGAGGAATGATCAACAAAACATACGTCTAGAGATAAAATATTGACAAGAGCTGGTATGATGTTGAAGTGGGATTCTGCTGATGAATCTTTCCACCCTGAACTTTTCCTTCTTCTTTTGCAGGAAGTCCCGATATGCTCCCAACTTTACCGATTTATTCGGTTCTTATGCCTTTGTGCGATTCCTTACTGTTATATGCAGCCTTGTCCCTAGTTTCACTTTAGTGGTGGATATTTTGAAGCCTTTTTACCAGATTTGTGGCAATTTGGTATGAATTTTCTTGATATGTCTAATCCATTTGTGATCTTGGTTGATTACTCCTTGATGGAGTTTATCTATCTCCCAAAATCTCTCCTTGCTTTGAGTGGTGTTATTGCAGGGAGTTGGAGTTCGAAAGTTTCAAACACTTCGCTTCGTGTAGGCTCAGTAACTCGGTGCTTTGTCGCCAGAGAGTTCAATGCCGTTTCTTTGGTTGCTAAACTTGCACTAGCTACGTTTTCAACCTCATTCCTTCTTGCAATGCGGTGTTTTTAGCCGGTTTAGCTTTGTTGTCCTGTTTTTGGAACAATTCCTCCTCTATGGAAAGTAATCATCAATGAAAAATTGCTAGTTCGTCCAAAAAAAACAAAACAATGGTGACAAACTTGTTTGTAACGCAGGAGGATTATAATGACATTGTGGGAGAATGGAAAGCAAAGCTTGAAAGAACTTCGTGTGAACAAAATTGGGGATTATTCATCGCCAACAAGAAGTAATAATCCAATATTGGACTCTATAAACCTATCCTCTGTGAGTCTTTTCCCTTCAATAAAATTGTTCCTTGAAGAACAAGAACCCCGTAATACTGTATGAAAGACTCATGGGTTGTTTCAGTTTCTTTTTAACTCCATGCCCGTAAAATCTGTGTTGCTATGGCCTATGATTCAAAGATATTAATTACTACAAGTACAGTAGAAACTATCTTATTATATAAAGCTGGATACGTGCGACGTGGTTGCGACACGTATGATTTTTATAATTTATAGGATCGCGACAAGTGTCACTTTTAATGTTAGGTCTGTTCAGATCGTGACACATGTCTTGAGAAAAAAAGGAATAAATAATAATAACTAGAAAATGTTAGAAAAAGGAAAATAAAAAAGGAAATTTTTAATCTATTATAGTAAAAAGAAAAAGATTATTTTAAAAAATTATATTTTGTCATATCCTAATAGAAAAATATTTCCCATTCATTAAAATTATATTATATTTAAGACGTATTAAATTCAAAATATTGTAATAAGTAAAATCCTATTAATACATGGAGAAAAAGAAAATTTTAATCTATTATAGTAAAAAGAAAACAATTCTTTAAAAAAATTATATTTGTCATATCCTAATAGAAAAATGTTTCCTATTTATTCTCTTTTCCACTTGGTTTATCATATTTGAATGTTGTTCTTTTGGAAGTTGTTTCTTTATCAGATGCAGATGAACTTGGGTCTACAAGACCAAGAAGAGTTCGCTTGTAGTTGCTGGATTTTCTTTTAATAAAATTCTGAGAGACATTGTCACCGTGCATGACCAAAAAAACATGATAGACAATTTATTCATTTCATATATAACTTCTTATTATATAATAATATAATCACCGCTATGATGACTGCTAAATAAAAACACACATATTTAGAGTTTGAACAAATGCACTTACCTGACAATGAAAATAAACAGAAGCAAAGTCGAATTCATTTTCAACACAACCCGCGTGGCCTTCACCTAGTTATATTTAAAATGATATACTGAAAGTGGACTTTGTCCATCTGAATTGACTCAGATGCCTTTTTTCTTTTCATTTCACCATTATGACTTATGTTTTCGTGATGTTCATGATATAACAAAAAAAGTCAGAAAAATTAGTTCCTTAATCTTTTTTCTTGGGAAATTTCAAAACTACACTTTTTTGGGTGCACATTTTCAAAACTACATATCTAAGTGTTTATTTTCAAAACTACACCCTTTTATTAAGTAAAATAACTCTAAATCTTAAAATATAAACTCTAAACCCTAAAAGCTAACCTTCAACCCTTAAATTTAAGCTCTAAACCCCAAAATCTAAATCCTAATTAGGGATTAATGAACCTAAACATAGATGTAAAATTTTAAAGTGTAAAATTGAAAATTAACACCATAGATGTGTAGTTTTAAAAATTACCACCCCATAATATGTATTTCTTTAAATTTCTCTTTTTTTGGTTCTTTATGAAATTTTATATATTTATGAATTTTACATTTTTGTGGATTATGGTTCTGAATTTTCCTTTTTATATGGATTATGGTTATGAATTTTACAAAAAAATTTATAATTTTTTTTAATAAAATATTTAGAATAAATTTCTGAGATAATAACTCACACAATACAATCTTTGAAAGTGTGGTAATGACTCACATAATTGTTTTGAAAGCTATGTCTTGTAACAGAACTAGAAAAGACATAACACCCTTGCTTACAATTTTTAATAACGACTTTGCCACTAGGTAACCTAGGAAATAAGTAAGTGGTAATATGTTTGTAAAAGAAAAAAAATTATCATCTCTGTGTCGAGAAAGGTCGATAATCGGCGGCGAAAAATCCGGAGACTTAACTTGCTCAGATTACTGTGACGACTGAGAAGAACGGTTTTAAGGAGGCAACGAGGAGATAATGTAGGTGTTTGACATTTAATTTTGAATGATATGATGAGTTCTATGTTGGTGAATTTTTGTTAAACTAATGTTGGTGAATTTTGCAGGTTCTGCAGGTGGAATGAGGGTTAGCTGAGTGTCGGAGCAAAATATAATCTTAGGTGGTGTAGTTTCGGGTAAGCGAAATTGTAGACCAATTTTCTTTATTAGAGGTATCGGAGTCGGACAAGTATCAAACTTGAACCACTGAGTTGTTGACAGGTCTCTCGGAAGCGAAGCGTAGGAGGTCGAATTTGTAACGGCAGGAGGGACATCTGCGTGAGCGGAAAGGAAAGGTAATGTAAAAGTAAAAGATTTTTGAATATTGGGCGAGCAATTATGATAGATTTTTGTATTCTAATTGAAGACGGAAGGGCGGTAGATTTATTAGTATGTATAGATCTATCTCTTAGTATTAACAGATACTTGACCTTGTGGTAGATATATGAGTTCCGGTTAGTTTTAAATGGACATCTTATTGTAAACTTTTTTCGCAGAGATGGATTCTTCTACATTGGGAGGGAATATACGGGGAGATTGTTCCCAGCCGGAAAATCTCCTTTTCAAGATCGAATCTTGCATCACAACTGCAAATTGACCGAGTTTGGGCAACTGAAGCACTCTGTAGGAGAAGAAGTTTTCAATGACGTTATGAGTACATCTCAAGTGGGAATTATTCTGAAGCTTGCCTCAAGAGTTACATGTGGTGTGCGAAGACATGTCATAACCTCCTAACACATCAATTGGCTATTGAGTCGAGTACTGAGATATGGTCACTATTTGGAGGTCGGCCAATTAGGTTTTCTCTCCACGAGTTTGGGGAAATCACACAGCTAAACTGTAAAGAGTTTGACCGTAATGATGATTTGCAAGTAGAACACACTTGGTTTTGGGACCTGGTCGGCATTAAAGATGGGGAAGGACCTTCTTGGCATGAGTTGAACGGAGCGCTTGGCAGATGCAGCACTTGGATGTACGAGCAGAAGAGAATGCTTGCGCTGCTGTTTGTTGTGCACATTGGAATATATGGCATTTCTCGGTCTAGTAGGATTTCTTTTAAGCATGCTAAAAGGGTTCTTGTTCCGGAGTCTTTTGAGAGTTATCCTTGGGGCAAAGTGGGATTTAAGGAGTTAATGAAGTCCATAAAAGTAGCTAACCTTGATGGGAAGACGTACGTCGTACACGGATGTGTACATGCGCTGTTGATATGGGCATACGAGGCTATTCCAATAATAGGTGAGAAATTTGGTAAGAGACGAGGAAACATTGAAATCCCATTACTTCGGTGGGAATCATGTCGCAACAGATACAATCTGGAAGCATTAGTGGAAGAAGAGAAGAAAAAAACCGGTCTGGATAAGGTATTAGTCGTTTGCCAGTCGTGTTGTTTCTTATGATTCGTAAACGACACGATTCTTATGATGATCAATATAGAAGAATGTATTTGTTTACTAAGATTATTTTGTAATGCCCTTGCAGGTTCGAGTTAGGCAATTAGTGTTGAAACCTCTGGAAGAGATATATCCCGTTTGGGCAGGCGAAGAGGCAGGAGGTGATATCAAGCTTGATAACATGATTCGTGATATTGTTGGAGGCTGTCTGGATGAAAGTTGCTGGGAAACAGAAGAGCAACTGTTGAACAAAAAGAAGAGGAAGAAAAAGTTAGAAGTGGTGGTAGATAGTGATGATGATTTGGTAGAGAAACCTTTGCGAAAGATTTCAAGTAAGAAGAAGGAAGAGCAGAAGACGAAAAAGATGGAGCCGAGAGACTATAGTGATTCTGAATCTCAGAAAAAAACGGAAGATGGGTTAGGTTGGGATGGAAGAGATATAAGAAAACCATCCGAAGGCCTTGCTGATGAAGCACTAGCGAATGTGCTTAACACTATTCTTGAGAAACTGAATGAGCTGGAACGAAGTTTGAACTATTGCAGACGAACAAAACTACTGTGGAGGAGGGGTCGACGAAAAAAAGGAATGAAGTAGGCGATGAAGTAGCCGAGGAGAAGGTGTATGATGCAGAGTCTGACACTGTTGGGGAGAACAACGATAAGAAGGGTTGTGAAGTGACTCCGGAACAGGTTAGTTGGTATTTGTTTTAATGCAGTGATTTTGTATTTATCATCTCGCTCCACTTCTTCAAAACTTTGACCCTTATCGTCCAATCGTTCCTGAAACAACCGACATTTTTTTTTTTTAATAATTAAATACTAAACAATTCTAGCGAAGATCTTTAAAATAAATTAAATAAATAAAATATCAATAACAAATAAATCAGCTCAGAGGAAGCAAATAATAATTAAACCAGTCTGGCAAAATAATGCAAAACAATAAAACAGTAAACATCCTATCATCCCCTCTTCAGCCTTGATTCCGCGATCACACAAATCTTTTACCTGCAACACATTGGAATTGAGTTGCGTAAGTATTTAATAAATACTTAGTGAGGCAATCACTCTGTCTACGCGCCATTTACGCAATTTACTAGACATTTAAATAATTGTTATAAACTCCAATAATTATTAAATTCCATTTTTCAATTATTAAATAATTTTTAATAATTAAAACACCGACATTTTTTTTTTTAATTAAATATTAATCAATTCTAGCGAAGGTCTTTAAAATAAATTAAATAAATAAAATATCAATAACAAATAAATCAGCTCAGCGGAAGCAAATAATAATTAAACAAGTCTAGCAAAATAATGCAAAACAATAAAACAGTAAACATCCTATCATCCCCCTCTTCAGCCTTGATTCCGCGATCACACAAATCTTTTACCTGCAACACATTGGAATGGAGTTGCGTAAGTATTTAATAAATACTTAGTGAGGCAATCACTCTGCCTACGAGCCATTTACGCAATTTACTAGATATTTAATAATATTTATAAACTCCAATAATTATTAAATACCATTTTCCAATTATTAAATAATTTTTAATAATTAAAACTCAATTTCTCAATTATTAAATAATTCTCATAATTAAATAATAATTTTCCATATTTTAAAATAATTAAAATAATTATTTTAAACCAATTAATTAAATAAATATTATTTAATTAATTAAATCCGAATTAAATCTATTTAATTCCATTAAACCAATTAAATTCAATTAAACCAATTAAATTCAATTGAACCAAGATAAACCAGAATCAAATCAATTAAATTCAATTAAACCAATATAAACCAATTAAATTCAATTGAACCAAGATAAACCAGAATCAAATCAATTAAATTCAATTAAACAGATTTAACCACACAAACACACAATTCACCACATAAACAACCAAAATATCATGAAATAACAATTAAACACAAAAACTCATCAAGAACAATCACAAACCAAATCTAATCTAGCAAATCGCGGACCCACAGTCATGCACTCACCTTGACAATGGATTGAAACTGAAGGAAAGACAATGAACAGTGCCGAATCCCGACGATGAACAGTACCCCCGATGAACAGTACATGATGAACCCCGATGAACAGTACCCGATGAACAGTAAAATCGAAAATCTCTCCAAAAACTCCACTTTTCTCCTCTGCAGCCTGAACTCGAAAATTCCCAAAGAGAAGACGGCTGCACTCTTTAAACTTGATTTTAGGGCTTTCTCCACTAAACCGGCCCAAACCAAATCACTTAAATTGAACCGACAAAATTCCCAATTTTTGGTTTATGGATGTTACAACTCTCCCCCACTAAACTGGATTCGACCTCGAATCCCAACAAAAACGTCACAAAGACCACAAACCCGACCTCGCAAGGCCACAACACAGGAGATCCTCACCTGATCCCCGAGACTCTCATCTAATCTTATGTCATAAGCACGTCTCTAGACATTTTACTCTTAACTCATCACCTCAAACCACTTGTACTGAGGCCACTTGCACCCAGACAAGTCCACACCTCCGCACTGGGGCCCACTTGCACCCAGACGCCAACCGCTGCTTATACTGAGGCCACTACACCCAGATAAGTCAGCCACGACTTATACTGAGGCCTACTTGCACCAGCTAAGTCACTCAACTGAGGCCACTACACTCAGAGAGTCTGCCAGAGAACGAAGTCTCCAAAACCGTAATGAGTTATTCAGGATCGCAATCCTTAGAGTAAAAATTCCAAGACATGTCTATAACAATAAGATTAGACCGTCTCACGACCAACTGGTCAAACACTTGTAACATCCGAATACCATTAAACAACACAAGGCAAAATGAGGAAAAACTGCATCTCATTAAAACTCCAAAAATGTATATCGTTACAACCAAAACGAAAATACAATAACACCAAAGCCAAAACAACAACTGAGGCTACAAAGATGAAATAAGCTCACTCCTCGACCTGCTTGTCGAACCACTTCCTGAACTTCAACTTCATCTTTGCCTCTGGCTCCCAAGTCTCCTCTGTAGAACCACTGCAATCCCACAAAATCCTCAGTAAGGGAATCCTCTTGTTCCTCAGAACCTTTTCCCTCCTCTCTAAAATCCTCACAGGCACTGCCGGCACTGTCAAATCTGGCTGAAGATCCTCTGGAATCCTAGCCACTAACTCCTCTGTAGGGTGAAGACACTTCCTCAGCATCGACACATGAAAAACCTTGTGAAAGGCTTTCATAATCTCAGGCAACTCCAGCCTGTAAGCCAATGGCCCAACTCGTCCACTACTGGAAACGGACCCATAAAACGCGGACTCAGCTTGTTCTCTGCTATGGATCTGTTAGGACCCCTCAACATAGCCATCTTGAGATAAACTCTATCTCCACCTGAAACTCAAGCTCTCGTCTGCGTCTATCTGCATAACTCTTCTGCCTATCCTGAGCCTCCTTCATGTTCAGCCTCACAACACGAACCTTCTCTGTCGTCTCCTGAACATAAGTAGCTCCATACATGCTGCGCTCCCCCACTTGGGTCCAGCATAGGGGTGTCCTACATGGCCTCCCATACAAAGCCTCAAATGGAGCCATGCCAATACTCGCCTGAAAGCTGTTGTTGTATGCAAACTCAACTAAGCTCAGGTGATCTGCCCAATGGCCACCCCAATCCAACACACACATCCTCAGCAAATCCTCCAAAGTCTGAATAGTCCTCTCTGACTGACCATCTGTCTGCGGATGATAAGCTGTACTCAGATGCACCTTAGTGCCCATCTCTGCCTGAAACGCCCTCCAAAACTCTGAAGTGAATCTGGGATCACGGTCTGACACAATACTAGCTGGCACTCCATGCAGCCTCACAATCTCTCGCACAAACTTCCTAGCCAAGACAGCAGCTCCATCTGTCTTCTTGATGGCCAAGAAATGTGCGGACTTAGTCAACCGATCCACAATCACCCAATAGCATCGAAAGTCCTCGAAACAGGTAGTCCAACCACGAAATCCATCGTAATCCTGTCCCACTTCCACTCTGGAATGGGTAAACTCTGCAAAAGACCACCCGGAACCTGATGCTCTGCCTTCACCAAGGCACAAGTGTTGCACTTCGCAACCCAGTCTGCTACATCCCTCTTCATCCCGACCCAATGATAGTACCTCTTGAGGTCATGGTACATCTTGGTCGCCCTGGATGAATGGAAAACTTGCTCGCATGAGCCTCTCCCAAAATCTGATGTCTCAACTCCACATCCTTAGGCACACAAACTCGCCCACGAACCAAGATAGTCCCATTCGCAGAGACCTCATACTCAGAACCAGTCACTCTCGTCGCATCCAGCAAACTCTGATCACTCTGCTGAGCAACTCTGATCCTGCTAAGTAGATCCGCCTGATCCACTGCCTCTAAACCCAAAGGCTCCTGCGAAATGGCACACAAACGCAAGGTACTGATCTCGCCAACTAGAGACTCCACATCTCGCTCAACTGCGGAATCATACCTCCGTCTACTCAACGCGTCCGCCACTAGGTTAGCCTTGCCCGGATGGTAGTTAATGCTCACCTGATAGTCCGCCAAGAACTCAACCCAGCGCGTCTGTCTCGCGTTCATCATCGGCTGAGTGAAGATATGCTGCAAACTCTTGTGATCCGTGAAGACCTGTACTGTCTCACCTAGCAAGTAAGACCTCCAAATCTTCAACGCGAAGATCACTGCTCCCAACTCTAAGTCATGTGTAGGACGGTTACGCTCACTGCCCTGCCACTGTCTCGAAGCATATGCTATCACTCTGCCCTCCTGCATCAGCACACAACCAAGACCAATGCCTGAAGCATCTGTATACACCATGTAAGGCTTCCCTGGCTCGGGTAACGCCAACACTGGTGTAGTAGTCAACATCTCCTTGAGCTGACTAAAGCTCTCCTCACACTCAGCTGACCAAACAAACGGGACATCCTTCCCGGTCAACTTCGTCATCGGCTGCGCCATGGTAGCAAACCCCTTGACGAACCTCCTGTAGTATCCTGCCAAACCCAGAAAACTCCTGATCTCGGTGGCACTACTAGGTCTAGGCCAATCTCTGATAGCCTCAATCTTAGCCGGATCCACAGAAACTCCCTCTGCAGAAACAATGTGGCCAAGAAATCCCATCTCTCGCTGCCAGAAACTGCACTTGCTCAACTTAGCAAAAAGCTTCTGCTCCCGAAGCTTCTCCAGAACCAACCTCAAGTGAGTCGCATGCTCCTCCTGACTCCTCGAGTATACCAGAATATCGTCAATGAAAATGATGACAAACACGTCCAAATACTCCCTGAACACGTCGTTCATCAATCTCATGAAGGCTGCCGGCGCGTTAGTCAAACCGAAAGGCATAACCACAAACTCAAAATGCCCATAACGCGTCCTGAAAGCAGTT